AGCCTCAACATGCAGATATGAAATTAAATCAGAGCCACTGATGAAGTCTAGTCGACTCATTTATGTGCAGCACATAAACAACTCCATCATTCCTTTGTCTTCTGCTGTTGATGAAAGCTTTAGACTACTCCAAAATGTTGCTCATTTTAACTAATGAGTCGAAAAATGTCACACTAATGATGTGACCCACTTTCCTTTGCCAAAACTAACTGTTTAATCACCGTCTTTACGGTCCGGACATAAAATTAACTACTAAAACTGGACTTGCATATCTCAGACTCAACCCCCTTTGAGAGCACTGAACTGTTCCTCCAGCCATGGCCTCATATTAAGAAAACTTGTGCAAGTCTATGTCCTGGTGCATGCTCAGCAATCCAGGTAAATAACAAAAATGGTTAAATCATGTCATCTGGACCTGTTTCTTTAAGTGAATAAATGTTTCGTTCCCCATCCAGAGGACTTTGTCAGTCTGCAGCCTGACTTTTTTCACTTAAACAGGTCCATGACATTATTCAACCATTTTTGCTGTTATCTACCTGGATGATTGAGCTTGAATTACTTTTTTTCTGAACCACTGTGGCCTTGGTTGTCCACAGGCTGTTTCTGTGAGTAGCAAGTTGGCCACCTGGGCTAAAACACTTGATTGATGTTAATGATAATTGATGGTTTTGGATGGGCGTGCTCCGTTTGCACATGTTAAAAAGCCTGCTTCTGAGATTCCAGCAGTAGGTTAATTGGCTTAAAACACAACAGTGAAGGCTATGGGACAGATCTGGTTGACAGGCCGCAGACTGATGAAGTCCTCTGGATGGGGGCCAAAACGTTTCTTCCCTTAAAGAAACAGACCCCGATGACATGATTTGCATAATCATTTTTGTTGTCATCTACCTGGATGATTGAGCTTACAAAACTTTCTTTAATCCAGGTAAATCTAATAAATTTGAGTCAAGTCCTCTGGATGGGTTCTTCTTGTTGAAACGTTTCATCTTTTATCCAAAAGACTTCTTCAGTCTGAGGAGCTGCAACAAACTCTGTCATTTAAGCAGCCCCTTCTCATAGTTATCAACCAGTTTGCTGGTGACAGCCAAAACTACCAGTAGCTGTTCATGTGCAAACAGAGCCTAACCGATCTTTAGTGCCCTGATGGTCGCTTGATATTCACAGAGGGCTGAGTGATACTCGCAACCAGTTTGCCGTCACCAGTAAACTGGTTGATCCACTATGAGAAGGTGCTGCAGCTCCTCAGACTGAAGAAGTCTTTTGGATAAAAGAAAAAATAAAACGTTTCATCTACTGGAGTACTGAGCATGAATCAGGACATGGACTTGCACATGTTTTCTTAATGTGGGGCCATGACTGAGGGAGCAGTTTGGTGACATCCAAGGGGGTTGAGTTTATCTTACGGTCAAGTTCTGCAGGTTTTTTTTTTTTATGTACTGCCTTGATCACAACTCATTAAGTTAAAAAAATAAAAATACTGCAATAGACTCCATTATTCTGAAACTGGATTTATTTATTTATTTTTTTACCATAAGCTGAAAAATGGCTCATTTTATTGCAGAAAACAACATTTTCACTGGGTGCGCTGACAAATCAGTCGCACTACCACAATCGGTTTCAGCTGCCTGAGAATGACTTGCAGCAACCATTTCAGTCGCTGCCATTGCTGACAACAAATGTGGCAATTCAGTCGACCCACACGGTTCTCAATGCACAAGTGAACCTTTCCCCAAAATATACAGGCTGCTAATTTAGGGTTTTCCTTGGTGTCTCTTGCCCGTTTTAAGCCGTCTTCGACAGAGGAGGAATTGTGGCTTTGAGTCGGTGCCAGGAATTCCTTCATGTGACGGTTCTGTGATTTATGAGTGACAAAAGAAACAGACAGAAAGGGGAGGCACATGGAGGAGGGAGAGGAAGCAGTTGGGTAGGTTGTTACGAGGAAAATACAACAAGTTTCACAGCACTGAGGGAAGTTTTAGGCCTTTGAGGCAACAGGTGTTGAAGCTTTCAGGGTGCAGGTACCCACCCCCAAAAAGCTAGAGACATCATAACCTGCAGACTGATGCATCCCAACAGCTGTAGCCTTACGTGTGCAAACGCTTGAACATTTCTCAATTCTGAGTTTCACATTAAATTTCAAGCAATAGACACATACCACACTGATGATGATGAATGACACCCACCACCCCCACCCCCGGAAACTGTACAGAGTGTTTTCCCAGTTGAGCAGCTCAAAAAGAGCAAACACTTTTCTAATAGTTTCTCTGATTAGGATGAAATATGTATGTAATGACACTCTTTTTATGTTTCATAATCACGCACGAATTCTTACTTATCCGTAGGCCTGTCGCAATAAACAATAAATCAATTCATCACATGATAAATGAAAATTATCGACTTCCTTTGCATTTATCGGCTTGATCGCTTCTTCTAGTCTCTCTCTTTCTACTGAAGACACTGGATGACAAAAGGCTCAACTCCGGTGCTCTTCTCTGACCCCTCCCTTTCTCTTTAAAACCCGTTTTAACCGTCCAAAATTGCGTTTTTGGATCGTTAAAAAGCAGCTAAGCTGAGAAGCGAAGCTACGAGCTAAGCTAACAGGTCGACCTTGCGAAAAAAAACTCTGTCTTGTCAAAGCTCCAAAATTCACGGTTGAAACCGGTGCATTTGTGTAAAAAGTTGTTTATCTCTGCAAAAAGAAGCTGAGAACTTGTTTACGGATTTTTTTTATTAAAAGCTTTGTGTGAAAAACGCTATGCCAAAGAGCTCAAACCACAACGAACGTCCGCCATTTTGAGAACAAAACAAAAAGTTATCCCATGTCACATCAAGGGGCCTCCCTCCCATTTTTCTTAAGGATACACACTGCTCGCTCCCTCACTATCCATCCTTCGGTTCAAACAGTCTTATACTTGCATCTGGTGGTAAAAAAGGTACTACATGCAAAAATTAAACAACATTTCTTCTTAAAATTGACAATAATGACTATCCATCCATCCATCCATTTTCTTTACCCGTTTGTTCCATTTTGGGTCACGGGGGTCGCTGGTGCCCATGTCCAGCAATCACTGTGCGAGGGGCGGGGTACACCCTGGACGGGTCGCAAGTCCATCACAGGGCAACATAGAGACAAACGAGACAAACAACCATTCACTCTCTCACTCACACCTAGGGACAATTTAGAGTTACCAATCAGCCTAACATGCATGTTTTTGGTCTGTGGGAGGAAACTGGAGTACCCAGAGAAAACCCACGCATGCACGGAGAGAACATGCAAACTCCACCCAGAAGGCCCCTGGACCGGGGTTTGAACCAGGGACCTGTTCGCTGAGAGGCAGCAGCTCTACCAGTTGCACCACCGTGCTGCCCTACAATAATGACTAATTATTGTCAAATTTCAAACAATATTATCGTTTATCGCAATTATTGCTGAGACAATTAATCGCCCTGCAGAATTTGTTATCGTGACAGGCCTAATTATCAGGTTTTTAAAAATACTTTCCTGTTGGATTAATTCACACAGACCTGGCAGGGATAATCAAGCAGCCATGTGGATGTCAGACGTACGCGTAAGCGGTAATCCCAAAGGTCACGTCAAGTGTTTTCACCGGACGGCGGCATTCATGACTTCATACAGACAAAAGTACAAACCGTCCTCTGATGGTCTGAGGCTACTTCTAATGCAGGAACAAGACGGAAACCCACTTGAATGGTGGCTCTTGTTGTTCAAGACACATGGCGATTGTGTGCCACTCTGAGCTGCAACATCTGTGTAAACCTAAGACCACAAACATCCAGGGGAAACTGAAGGGTCAGACTTCAAGCAAGGGACAGTGAAGGCAGCATATTTGAATAAAAAAGTATGGGAAGAAAATGGGTTGACTGACTTCTTAGATTACTTAAAGTTTATTTTTGCAAGAAGAACAAACGTTTGAGTTTCAAACACTGGCTGTTTGCAGAAGTTTTGAAGAACACAATACGCATCTACAACCTCAAGTTTAAATTAAGTTGGGACGTTGTGTAAAAGGTCAGTAAGAGGACTGGGTATTAAAATAACATTTTAGAGGGGATGAAACTCTCAGAAGTAAAGATGGGCAGAGAACTTCACCAGTTTGCAAATAAACTGATAAACTTCATCTAAAAATGATGAAACAATTTGACTTTGAACATGTCATCATGTTTGTTCATAATGTCCTGATGCATGCTCAATAATCCAGGTGAATGTAACAAGGTTGAGTCAGATCTTCTGGGTGGGTTCTTCTTGAACCAGTCCAGTGGACTGTATCTTGTTAGATACAGTTTATAATATTGTCAAAAGATTTCAAGAATCTGGAGAATTCTTTGAGCTCAAAGGACAAGACTGAAAGTCAGTATCGGATGCTCGTGATCCTCAGGCGGCTCTACATAAAAACGGATTCTGTTATGGCATGACTGCGTGGGTCCAGGGACACTTCCACAAATCATTTCCTGTACACACAGTTCATCAGAAACATGGATGCTGGGTAAAGCTCTATCATGCACAGAAGAAGCCATATGTGAACTCCATCCAGAAACTGCACCATCTTCTCTGGACCAGAAGCAAAGTGGAAAACTGTTCTGTGGTCGGTTGAATCAAAACTTTATCTTTTATTTATTTATTTTTTTAAACGATAAACACCATGTTCTTCATACTAAAGAGGAGGAGGACCATCCAGTCTGTTATTGGCAAACATGTCAAAAGTTTGCCTCCCTGATGGTATGGGGGTACATGCGTGTCTATGACATGGGCATCTGATTGCACTGATAAAAATAAATAAATGTTAAGAGAATGCTTCAGGTAAACATGACCCCACTTGAACTTTTTTGCAATGTGTTGCTGCCATAAAATCCAAACACCCCCCCCCCCTTTTTTTTTTCAAAACATGATACAATTTCAGAGTTTCAGTTGATGTATGTACATGCTCCTTTGAGAATAAAAGTTAATGAGGTTTGCAGAGGCCACCCAACCTTCCCAGCCTCACCTTTCCCGCAGGCTCCCCTCTGGATGAACAGGACAGGTGGTTGCTGCAGCTTCTGCGCGCGCCGGCTGACCCTCTTCAGCTCGCAGAGGCTCCGGTAGGAGACCCCGTCGCTCCCGCACACCGGCTCGGCGGACTTGCACACGCAGATCCCGCTCTTGCCTCTCCTCCTCACCGTGACAGAGTGCGCCACCCCGCCGGACACCGAGCACTCCAGCCCCTCTCCGCACACCGGGTCGCCCAGCTTCCCGTTCCCGCCGCAGGCCTCCCCCTCGCTGGACGCGCACACCTGGCAGCAGTGGCAGGCGTCGAGGGTTTGTCCCGCCGCGCAGTCCGCCGGTACCCGGGGGCACATGGATTTGTCGCAGACAGCGGGACATCCGACCACAAACCGGCCGGAGAGCTGCGCGTCAGCCCGCGACGACGCAAACATTACGCACAAGAAGAAAAAGCACCAAAACATGACTCAAATTGTAAAATTAAAAAGCAAAGTTTAAAAAAACAAACGAAAACAAAATGTTAAAAGAGAAAAGTTAAATCCAGCTCGCGGTGCAGCAAGAGGAGACGACTCGGAGCAGAAAGGGGGGAGTCATCCCAGCTGTGGAGGCATTTAACTGAATCACTGCGCATCCAATCTGCGCAGCTCTGCGCCGGCCGGGCACCAAACCGGGCGAGTGGTGCGTTCACGTGACGCACTCCGAGGACGAGCCGAGTTATTGATGATCCTACTGAGGAGGGGGGATAAAATAACAAGGGAATAACTCAAAGTAAGGAGTGGGGTATAAAGATACGGCTTCTTTTATTTGTTTAGGAGTCGCACGTGACGCAGCAGGCCCGTGAATAAAACTCCTCTTTGCAGCAGAAAGCAAATATCTGCCTGTGAAATCACTTTAGGCAAGCATTGTTTGTAAAGATTATGAAACATATAAACAAATAAATAAAAACGAGTTTTATGAACTCCACTCTGCAGGATTATTTCCTATAATCCTAATGGTTTATTGTTTATGTTGCTTTTACCCCTGAATCACTCACAAGCCTTAGGGCTACGTGGAGAAAAATTAGTAGGGAATTTATTAGAGTTCAGGTATTTTTGCCTCTTTTTTTCCCTAATCGTAGGAATTCAAGAAAACATTTATCTTTAAAATAAAACGTGTTGTTACACGCACATGTCCCATTAACTTCTGGTTCCCTCCTTGAGTTAATGTAAATTATCAGTAAATGTGTGCCAAATCCTTGCTTGATTTATTTAAAAATATATTTAAAAAAATAGTCTAAGCCACTGATTCATTTAATTTTTGGCTGAAACGATGCCCATTCCTATAGAAACAGAACAACGGGCCTCTGTTGGATTTAAATGTGTGGGGAGTCCAATAAGCTGTAAATCAGCATCATAAAACGCCTCAGAACAAAGTGATTGATTGTGGGTGCAGGGTCGGTTGAAAAGCCCCTAATTGAAGTCAAGGGCCTCTGAAATGCTGCAGGGGGGGGGGGGAAATGAGGGAGGATACACCCTGTGGTGCACCAGAACTCAGGATAAACAGAAGATTTTGTATCTGGAAGGTAATAAGAAAGGAGCGTGAATGAACAGAGGGCAGCACCGGAAGTGGGGAGTGTTTTCACAATGTCTACCGCTCTGAATTCTTCCGGGTTTTTTTTTTCTGAAATGAGAGGGCATTTGTTTGTGGAAAAGAATGAGCCCTGTAATTCTCATGCATTAAAACACATTGTTGGGCTGATGTAAAAATGAGTGAAAGGGACAGATTGTACATAGGCGAGAAACGCTGGGAAAATGTGCAGATGAAAACAACCTCATCTATAAGGAACACCCATTCTCCAACCGAGGCCAGTGAACTCAGCCAAGGATGGACTCAGCTGAGGGCTGTGTGATCCCTCGTCACCCGTCTGACATGACGTCTCAGCCAGGAACCAAGACCATAAAGGAACAAAAATGGACTTTAGTGCAATGTCCAAAATCCCACACAAGTCTTAAGCCTTTATTAAGCCGAATAAATGCACCCAAGCTGCTTTACAATCCAAAGTGAACCATTTTCCTTCTCCTTATGTTAACTTTAACTCTTTAGGATAAGTTCTGACTGATTAGTGTTCAGATTTGTATCCATCTGCATGTCCAGCTTCACTTTAAAAGCCGAACATGTATGAAACATCACAGAGGCGATAAAACCCTGTCTCCTTCATGTATGACTAAATCAGGGGTCTGCACGCTTTTTGATCAGAAGAGCCATTTCTGCCACTTTACAATGTGTCTGGAGCCGCAAAGCTGCTCATCAACTGGTGGCTCATGGGCCACTAATAGGTCGTTGGAGGAAGGTGTTTCTTGCCTGTTGGGGTGACATTATAAAACTAAAAACATATAATGAATTTTTACATTTATTGATCATTTGTACTTTTTAGCGCAAAAGACCAAAAGTAGGAAAAAAAATTACACCGAGTCTCTGCAGGTTTATGAGTCTTTTTATAGGATTTAAAATTAAGTATACCAGAAGTAATAAAACCAATTTAACATGTACAGAAACATTGGACATTTTGCTGGACAAGTTATTGATTTTTATTTATTTATTTTTGAAAGAAAGATCACTGTAAGCCTGGAGGTTGGATAAATGAAGTAGCTAAATGTAATCAACGTTTCTCTCCTTGTATTAGTAGTATCCTTTACAAATTTACTGAAAACTGACAGAAAACTGTAGTTTCAACTGTAAAAATAGCATTTTCGGTTGTGGGTATAATTATTATTTTCCTTCTTCTTTCGGCTGCTCCCTTCGTCAGGGGTCGCCACAGTGAACTTAGTCGTACGAAGACTTGGCAATTATTTTTTTGACACCGGATGCTCTTCCTGATGCAACCACTGAGCTACCACAGCCCTCTGTGTGGAGCAGAGAGCTGCTATCTGGGGCAACTGGGGGAGTGGATGGTGGGGGCCTTGCTCAAGGGCACAGAGTGGAGGGTGGAGGCAGGTGTGGGTGCTTCACCTTTCCCACCCACATTTTGATGTTTTCAGTACCAGGAGTTGAACCAGCGATCTTCCCATGACAGGCCCACCTCTCTAACCTCTGCGCCACCACTTCCTCGGTTGTGGGTACAAAAATAATCAGTAAAATTAAATATCATGTTAAGTTTTGGTCAAAGCTTCAAAGGGCCAGACGAGAGACTAAAGAGCCGCATGTGGCCCCAGAGCCACATGTTGCAGACCCTTGCACTAAATGATCAGTTTGAAACGAAGTGCATGTGCACATCCGGCGAATCCCTGCACGTATTTAAAAATTAATTTGTCCCTACACCAGTCAGTTAAATAAAGTTGTCATAGTCTTTTGTCATGGTGCTGATGCTCTGGCCTGATTTGCCGTTTCGTTTACTTGCTGGAATGTGCAATATGTGGTTTTATTGAATTGTTTTTATTGAGCAATAGGTGTTTTATTATTTTACTGTGGTGTTCACATGGTTTTATTGTTTGTAGTATATTTAATTGTGGAAGAAGCTTTGTTTAGCGCACAATGTTCAAAACAATTTTCCCCTTGGGGACAATAAAGTATACATTATCATCCATCTACATCCGTTATTGTGATGGTCTTATTTTCAATCACACTTTGCTAAATAGATATTCATTACTGTTGTGGTTGTATATTAAAATTATATTCTCAAAACCTACAATTTACTTCCAGTATCATGCAGCAATAATCTTTTTAGTCAATTTTTTCCATTTTGACAAATTTATAAGTGAAGAACTGAGTATTTTACTTGCTGGATGTAAACATTTATCATTTAAGCCGTTTTAAGCCTTTGAAATGAATAATTGAATTTGAGTCATGATTGATTTTGTAATTGCTATAAACAAAGTCTCCTGTTTAATTGAACTGTTGTGTCTAAAATTTGGTCTCAAGCTGCATCTTAGGTGATTTTACTGACAAAATGTTTGCCGTGATGCACAACTGTGGTGTAGCTTTGATGCACTTTCTGGTGATTTTCACAAATTGTTTTTAAGAAATAAACACCCAACAAGTGGCCAACGGAGCCATGTGGACGAGTGAGTGAAGGTTTTTCACTCTCCACAAGAGGGCAGAGGACGATGTGAGCAGTTACTGCTGAGAGAGAAAAGTGTGAAAGCTACTCTGAATTATTTTCTTTGGAAATCTCTCATGCTCCGCATAAACTTAAAAAACAACCACAACCTGAGCACATTTTCAGTGTTTATTTCATTCAAGTCATCCACTTAATAAATAGAAACAATTCATATCAGTTACATCAGACAGAAACGGGAGTGAAATAGCTTGGCTCTATCAGACTTAATTAAAAAAAAAAAAAGATTAGTGTACATCATTTAGCAGGATTACAGTGAGACATTTTTAAATAACACCATGAGGCAGCTGCCTAGAATTACACTGGCAATACAGAGACAAGAAAACAGGAACGGGACAGGTCTAAAAGCATTTAAAAACTAAATCTGTTCTCTAGTCTGCAACCTCACAACAACCAGGACATCTGCAAATAAAAACAAAACACAAAGACCACCGGAAGAATTATTAAAATATTAGCATGCAACTTAAGTGACTAATCTTGGCTTTCGTACAGAATCTTTATTTTCTCAAGACATGAAACGGATAGCCGACTCCACCGCCTGCAGTTCTCTAAATTACAAAATCTGCTCGTGGTAGGTTTAATGTGTGGTTAATTATAGTTTATTCTGTGAACTAAAAGGACCCCCCCACCCCCCACACTGATAATTGAAAACAAAGAGGTTAGAGGTGCCTATCCAAAGTTGAGCTGTAAAACATTTAGTCTGTTTCGTCCAGTGTTGCTGTAATGAGTGTGAACGGAGCAGAGAACCTAACATTGTTGATGTAAGCGGTGCCGACAAGCCCGTCCGAAGTTGAAACACTCCTTTCAGAAATTAGGAAAAAAGTTGCATTCCTACAAGCTTCTTTATTTTTTTTGGCGCAAAGTGGTTTACAAAAGTCATTGTGCCCGCATGTTAAAACAAAGCTCTGCTGCTGAATTTGATTCAGAACAAGTAAAATCTGCTGTTTGTTTTAACGTCTAGGAGTACCTGTGCCTTTGTAAGTGGTTCAGCGGGCAGGCCGAGGGGTTTCGGAGAGGACTCTGTTGCCTTTGGCACACAAGTGCAATTCAGACCCTTGTTCAGATGCAAGAGCTCAGAGGATGAGTTTGTGAAACTGCTGTTTAATAAACAGTTTCCTGTTTATCCATTAGTTCCCAGTCAGCATCCATCAACAGATGCGGCCTTGAAGTCCAGTAAAGTGGGTCAGACCTCGCTCACTGGCAGATCAGCATCATCTATTCCAAAGGGGGTTTCAGGCCTGCGGGGCTCGAAGCTGCTCCGACGTCGCCACGGTGACTCCTCGGAGTTGGCGTTGGTGGTTGCGGGTAGCTGGGTGCTCACTTTGCTAGGTGTGTCTCCTGCAGGGACAGGCGTGCTGGCGTGTGGCTGTGAATGGGGCGTGGCAGCAGGCTCATGAAGTGCTCGCTGTCCCACGCCAGGCTGCGGGCGTGCGCCGCACGTGACAGAATCTCCCCACTCTGGGTAGCACGGTGGCACTGCGGATATGGGCGAGCGAGGGACGGGGGGACCTGCTGGGCTGCGGTAAAACGTGGAGCGGCTGCCGTGTTCCTGCAGCGGAGACAGCGGGAGGACACAGAGAGGTTAACAATCAGCCGGGTGGGGGGGGACGCCGTTAGTGGGGAAAATCAAATCCTGATATGTTTAATCAAAAAGGTTAGAATTAGCACCAGCGCGTGGAGCCTGATTCAGCTCGAAGGTTGTAGAAGCTGAAGATCATGGCATTGAGAGTGAAGATGGTGGTAGTAGAAGAGGTAGCAGGAATAGTGTCAGCAGGTTTTAGTTGGAGTCTAGATAAGTTGCAATGAAAGTTCAAGCCTTTGGGAGCAGTGGCTGGTTATTATTTCACAGCTTTTCAAAATCAGATTTCAATCTCTGAAAAATAAACAGATGCAAGAAAAGAGACAAAACAATAGAAAGCATGAACACAGCAGCCACTGAACAGTTGGTGAAGAGTTAAGACAAACATGGTGGATAAACATCATTGCAAGACTGCAGTGCAGGCATCTGTCACTGTTCCAAATCATCCTAAAGCATAATGTTCGACTCTGCACAGCAGACTCGTACGACTCCTTTTCACTTAGTGATCGCTTAAGGCTTGTAAAATTCAACTTGCAGATGCCAAAGCACTGCAAGTTTATTAGTCGATGCCTTACGCTGAAGCCGAAAGTTCAAAGTTAGGCTCAAACATTTCAGAGGGATTAATGAAGATTCTCACATGAACACACTGTAAACCTGGACAACCACTGCAGTTGTTTAACAGATAAAGTCCTCTGCATGCTGAATTAGCTCTTAGAAACACAAACGCTCTCATGCTAATCAATATTTATAAATAACATTTATCAAGTTTATAGCTTCAGACAAAGTTATAGAACATTAACATGGAAACAGTTAACTTGTCATGTAAATAAAGGAAACATACAGGCAGCGGACAGGAGGGAACAGAAGAGACAAGCAGGAAGTCACACATCTAAGACAGGTACACAGCTGCAGCAGACTGCAGAGAAAACAGGGCATGAAAGGGAGAAGGTGTGAATGACAGCAATAACGACACAGTTGAAAGAAGACGAGCTGGAGGGCAGGCAGTGGGTACACATCTGTAACGAACTGCACATCTATAAACATCATTAATCGGTAAAACTGTTAAAACAGCGTGAGAGAAAAATAAAAACAGTATTTCAGCGTTTTAAAGAGGAAAGCTTAACTGGAGTGGATCAGATGCAAAAGAGACTCAAAGCTTCAAGATTCCAAACTAATGCTGCATGATGATGTCAGAAAAATATATATTGATATTTTACTTTTACTTACTGCTCCCCTCACAAAAAATAAGATTTATATAAAAAAGAATATTTATCTGCAATATTTAATCCCTTAAGTGCGACAGGGTTGATCCCAGGGGTGGTGCAGCTGAATAAAAAACAAAACAAAACATTATTTAAGATGAAAAAAAAAACATTTTTTTTTTACTCTGAAGGATTTTCGAGTGTGTACTGTTTTTATACACTATATAAGAGGACTACTCTTGGAGTGATGCTGACAGGCACAACAAGAAGTTTACACACTGCGTGCTCAGTACAGTAGTCCCTCGTTTATCGCGGGGATCCGTACTCTGCAGACCCGTGATAAGTGAAAAACCACAAAGTAGGAATAGTAGTACAAGTAGTAAGTAGTAGTTTATTTTATCTATCCATCCATCCATCCATAGATATAGATAGATGGATATAGATATCTATCTATATATATATATCTATAGCCATCTATCTATCTATATCTATCTATCTATATATATATATATATATCCATCTATCTATATCCATCTATCTATCCATCTATATCTATATCTCTAAATCTATACATATATCTATCTATCTATATCTATATATAAATAAAGGCATTTTAAACCCTTCCCACACTATTGCAATATTCCAAATGCACTAAGAGCACAGAATGTCATAATTTCAGCTCCCTGCCTCCTCTGCTCTCAGCCTCCTGCAAGTGTGCTTGGCCACGCCCACTTCTCCACTCTGCACAGAGAACAGCTGATCAACTGCAGCAGGAAGTTCATCCTGCGGCAGTAAGGGCTGCATAAAGGTGCAGGAGGAAGCTTTTTCTGCAGCAGGTGCTAAATAATAAAAAAATATTTATTTTAAATAAAAACTTCATGCCGATCATGCGGTTCATCCATCAATCAGTCAATTGTGTGTCATGTCCAATCTTATTTTGAAAAACCGCGATAGAGCGAGTCCACGATAAACCAACCGCAAAGTAGCGAGAGACTACTGTACATCATATTTTATCAGTGTCGTTCCATTAGTCATGTTCGATAATGTTTCTGTTGTGCATGCAGAAATTATAATGTCCGCCTGATGTTGTCGATTCATAAAACCTGTTCACAGAAGACATCCTGACTGCAGCAGTTTTAAGCACAGATGAACTTTATGTTACAGTTTAGCAAATTAAAAGCAAAGGAGGAAGGAGGTCAATAAGAAAAGCAGTAAGAATGGGGGCGTGAAGAGAGGAGGGCCTGCCGAGTTATTGCAGCCATATTTGGGATGTGGTTGCTACTTAGCATAAAAAAATAAAAATGGAGAACATCAGATGGGAATTAAAGTCTGATTTTCTCATAATAGCCGTTTTCACACGTGCAGAGCAGCATTAAAATGTTCTAGAGATGTTTTGGAACAGTATGCAAATACCTGCAGTATTTGTTTGGACTTCTTTGCAGACATCTTTCTTCCAACCATTAAGAACAATATTTATACAGCAGTGGTTGAATAAATGTGCAAATATATTTTCTAATTTTCCAAAAGATTGAGTGGGTGAGCTTATTTTTATCTTGATAACCTCTGTCTTCTATTATTGTGGACACAGTGAAAGACCTCGTTAGATCTCATCTGCTTTCCTTATAAAAAAGCTTTAGCGACATTTTGTTGGATCATGTCCTGCCTCTTTTGCACTTTAAACAAGCGTTCCTCCTCCACACCTTCCTCACATTTCATGCTGTACAAGCACTTCTACAGCAGAAAAGCTCCCACTCTGAAGAGGTAAAAGCGCATGTCTGCACATTCGCCGGAACATATCCGGTGTTCGTGTGTGAAAACGGCTAATATCTAAAACCAAAAGGGCCAGCCAGTGAGAGGAAAAGAAGGTACTGAAAAGGTGAACTTAAGAGCCTTTAAAGGGGATTCAGACGAGCTGACGTACGTGCTGCTGCACTCCCCAATTCGGGACGTATACCTCTGTATACAAGGGTTCGACAGCCGTCTGGCCTGCCGCATCTGCAACAACACAGTGCAAAGCAGGGTTAGAGCAGAAGGGCTGTTTTCCCACCAGGAGAGGAGGCAGTGGAGAGAATGGGACAAACTAAGAACAGTGGGAACAAGAGGCTAGAGAGATCTAGAAGAATAAGCAAGAGAAAAGAAGACGAGGCAAGACAGAAAATTTTAAGAAGACTGAGTCCAGACTAACCACGACTGAGGCAGAGGCTTGAGTTTCATCTGATTAGAAGGTGGTTCGTGTCATCACCTGCCAGGTTCATGCTTTTTTTCTGCACGTCGTCTCCCGACATCAAAACTCGGATAGTTCCAAGTGGTTTGTATCAACCTGAGGACCTGTCTTATTCTCCTTCTACCAGCTTCCCATTCATTTAATGACACACAGTCTGTTGCTTGTCTTATTACTATTTGTTTAAATTGTGATAAAACAGAAATCCAGAAAATTAAGAATACGTTATGACAAGCTCAAAGTGCGCGCTGTAAAATAAGTTTATTAAATTACCTAATAGTGAGCAGTTTAATAGGTAAATTATGCTGCCAGGAGCCCCATTCCCCACAGCTTCATTTTGGCTTTGAATAACTGGTGTAAGTGAGACATAGCACAAACTTTATCTTTATCTCTTATTTTTGGATTTTAGAAATTCACTTCCATATAGTTACAAAATTGACAATTGGGGACAAATCCACAAATGACATGTAGCTAAAACTCTAAGAAGTGATGTCAAAAAGACCTCACCAGAGCTGTGGGGCTTTGTGGAAACAAACAAAGTTGTCTCTTCTCACCACTAGATGTCGCTGTAAATTTCAAGTTCTAGTTTAAGCAATATCCTCCAAAATTTCTGACTCCAGTCAGAATTAAATCTAATTTGAGATGTGATAATGTGTGCAATACATACTGTAGCTGCTGATCTCCCAGGCCCCCTCTGAGCTACAATGGCCCCTGAGACAGCCTTGATCCAGCTGTGCATCTCCTCTGGACTGTCCGCCTAACAGAAGCAGAAAAGAAAATCAACAGGAAGAATGAAAGTTTGGAAAATGAAATCTATCAGGTGTAGAAATCAGAACGATATAACCTGAATGAATAAGAAATTTGGCCATTTGATATCATCAGTAAGAGCTCCAGTGAGAACGTGAATGAACTACATTGAGTGATCAAAATCAGCATACCTGGATATAAAACGTCCTTGATGTGGTGACAACTTCAAACAGATTATCTCTCATCATGATGTCACTACAACAAAGACAAAAACAAGTTGAATCATATTTATTTGATCTAGAACTTGGTCTTATCAGAAAATGTCAGAGCATGCTAAATACCTCTGTTTGCACTCCTGGACTTTGTGAACTTCTTTTAGTGGGATCATCCTCAAAGGCTCTTTCTCCTAACAGCAAGAACAACACTGTTCAAAGCAAAAGCCAAATATCTTATCTGTATGTAAACTACAAAACAAAAAGCCTGAGTTTGATTCTGTTCACAGCCAGAATATCATGAATGTTCCTGGAAGTAGCAGCCTACAAACATCCAACTAAAAAAAACAGACACTTGTAATGTTTTTGTTGAGCGGACAGAGTGTCTGCGACCTTCAGGACTGTTGATGGCCAAATACACAGACAAACTTGTCAAATAGGGGCAGATCCTGACAAGGACAGGGTATGGGATGTACGGGTTGTCCTCAGAAAAGTGTGTGTTGCGTGTGTGTGGGTGTAAGAAAGGCCAGGTTATCAAGGCATGACTGAACGTGTGAAGTGCAGGCAATGAATTCCAGTCTGTGAATAAAACAAGCTGAAGCTCGTCTCGTTGAACCATGTTACTTCATCGAAGACTGTAAGCTTTTAAGCTTATATTTCCACATATATCATGCATAAAAACATTCCTGAAACTCTTCATATTACGTAATTAAAGTTAATTACCAAATCTGACTTGAAGTAACTCAAAGCATTTTCTTCCAAGAGGAAATATCGGCGTTTCCAGTTCCTCATCTGTGGGAAAAGGAGACAAGATGTTCAAATCTATATTTGGTGTGGCTTTTAGAGAAATTAGGAAACATAACGGTTGTGTTATTAATGAAGACATTTTTAGTTTTACATGTGTTACTAAACTGAACAAGGATGATTTTTCACAAAGACTGTTGACCAACAAATTAAAAAAAACTTAACAATACTAGCAGACCAAATGAAATCCATGCAGCCTAACAGAAAATAAGCAGCAGGAGCGTGAAGATAAATTGGTCTCAAAAATCGTCCAAAAAAAAGCCTACAAGATTTGAAAGTGTACCACAAAATTCACAAATACGTAGTTTTTTTAAATGCTCACATTTCAAACTTCAAGTACAAATATGCTACACACAGAAGGTGTCAAACGCGAAGAAGAATTGCTCATTTTGTTTATTTCAGCTCTAAAGTCCACAAAGTTAAACTTTTTGGAATCCTGTACTGTCAATGTAAATGGACTGTACTTATATAGCGCCTTTCTATCTTAATCAAGATACTCAAAGCTCTTTACAACACAATATGTGCCCTCATTTACCCATTCATACAGCACTCTACTGTATCTGTACAAAGACTAATTGGTGCTTTATCACATTCATACAGTGATGGGACACATCAGAGGCAATGAGGTGTTCAGTGTCTTGCATACAGCTGTGTTTGAAATAATAGCAATGTTTACAAATGTAGCTGAAAATGCTTAGAATAGTTGATATCCATGCAATGGGAACACTGTATATTATATTCTAAATCAAACTATGACAAAAAAAATTACTTTTTAAAATCACTTTACAGAAAATGAATGGGCCGTTTAAAATCAGTGTCTGCATTTTGCTTTACAAACTCATATTCACTGTTTAAACTGAACAATCTTTGGAATTTATCATTGCTGTTGATCCATCCATTATCTTTACCCACTTCTTCCATTTTGGGTCACGGGGGTCGCCGGTGCCCATGTCCAGCAATCACTGTGCGAGGGGCGGGGTACACCCTGGACGGGTCGCAAGTCCATCACAGGGACACATAGAGACAAACGAGACAAACAACCATTCACTTTCTCTCACCTAGGGACAATTTAGAGTTACCAATCAGCCTAACATGCATGTTTTTGGTCTGTGGGAGGAAACCGGAGTACCCGGAGAAAACCCACGCATGCACAGAGAGAACATGCAAACTCCACCCAGAAAGGCCCCTGGACCAGGGTTTGAACCAGGGACCTGCTCGCTGAGAGGCAGCAGCTCTACCAGTTGCGCCACCGTGCTGCCCCTTGTTGTTGATCACTAAACTAAATTTAGCTGCATAACCAGTTTCTGAGAAGCGCTTCACATCTGTGTTGCATAGAGTAAACCAACTTCTGGCAGCTGTGCACAGATATTCCAGCCCAGGATGATTCGACAACATTCCACAACTCCTCTACATTTCCGGATTTGGCCTCAGAAACAGCATTTTTGATGTCGCCTCACAAGTTTTCAATCAAATTAAAGACTGGTTGGGCTGGCCACTCCATAACTTTGATTTTGTTGGTCTGGAACCAAGAGGCTGCTTGCTTACTGGTATGTTTGGGGTTGTCTTGTTCAAACACCCATTTGAAGGGCATTTCCTGTTCAGCATAAGGTAACATGATCTCTTCAAGTATTTTGATATATGCAAACTGATCCTGACCCCTTGTATGTGGAAAAATAGGCCCGACACCACAATAAGAGAAACATCCCCATGACATTATGCTTGAACCACCATGCTTGTCTTCAGAGTGCACTGTAGCTTGAATACAGGGTTTGGGGGTCGTCTTACAAACTATCTGCAGCCCTTGGACCCAAAAAGAACAACCTTACTTTCATCAGACCATAAAATGTTTCTCAATTTCTTTTTAGGCCAGTTGATGTGTTGTTCTTTGGCAAACTGCATCCTCTTTAGAATGTCTTTTTTTTAACAGCAGGACTTTGCAGGGGCTTCTTAACAATAGCTTAGCTTCACACAGGCGTTTTCTCACAGTACTCACTGTTAACTTCAGACCTTCTTAGTTCACCCTGGAGCTGATCATTGGCTGCATCTTTGCCATTCTGGCTATTCTTCGATCTAATTGAATAGTAATCTTTCATTTTCTTCCACGTCTCTCTGGTTTTGCTTTCCATTTTAAAGCACTGGACATCATTTTAGCCAAGCAGTCTATGGTTTTCTGCACTTCTTTATACGTTTTCCCCTCTCCAATCAACGTTTTAATCAAAGTACGTTGCTCTTCAGAACAAAGCCTGGAACAACGCATTTTTGTCAGATTTTCAGAGAAATACATGTTCAGTGCTGGCTTCATCCTTAAATAAGGGCCACCTGACTGACACCTGTTTCTTCACAGAAAAAATGACCTCAGAAATTGAACTCCACACTTCTATTATTTGGAAAATGCCTATTTCAATCGTTCAATTACACAGACTCAGGAACATGCACAATATGAATGTTGGTATTTTTGGTTTTCTACGACTCTACTACACCTATTAGTAAATTATTTGCCTTGTGGTACTGGTAATATGATTTATACAAAAACAGTGATGGATCTGGTTAGTCTAATTGGACTGCTACTATTTCGAACGCAACTGAACATGTGTTATTAAAGGGGGTTATGACCTACTGGGCCACATCAGAAATACGTTTTTTTCCAATAAACCGGTAAATCTGGTAAGACCAAGATGTTTGAGCTTTTCACCAGTCTGGAATGCAGCATCACATCTATGGATCCGGATTCATCTACATTTGACAATTTGTACAAGTAGTATATTTCTACTTATGCAGTTTGACATGTGTACATTTTGAAAAACTTTATGCATTTTTGAATAATTTTGAGACTATAGTAGTCCCTTGCTACTTCGTGGTTCGACTTTTGTGGACTCGCTCTTTCACGGTTTTTCAAAGTAAGATTGTACATGACACACGATTGTCAACTTTATTACTCACGTGATGTAATCATGATACAGTAAAAAAGTTAACGAAAAGATAAAATAATACTTTGGATATGCATTGTCATTTTGTAGTTTTTTTCTCAATAAGCTTACACTGTATCACCACTCAAAAGGACTACATTTCCCAGAAGCCCCAACAGTGACACCAGCCGATGGCTTTCTGCTGAAATGGAGGGAAAGTTTTGATCCGATCCAAAAAAGTTTAGTCCTTATTCATAGTGACTTCAGTGCTCAGTGGATGCAGAGAGCCGTACGGAACCAACTGAGAGTTGGACCAGAGCCGGACTTCCAGCCTCACTGGTCAATCCGAGTGCTGCTTGCCAGCCCGGTGTTTTCTGCGAAGCTCACCGGGACGTTTTTTTATCTGGATTTGGACTTGATCGGGACCACTGTGTGGTTTTGTTTGTAGTACGTAGCTAGTGTACAGTACATACATATTGTTAAGATTACGTAAGTTCAAGAGTTTAGAACACTGCAAGAGTGTGAGAAGGGTTTCTAAAGCCTTAAAATATATATAAATACTAAAATAAGTATAGCGTTCCTACTTCGCGGGTTTTCACTTATTGGCGCGGGGGGGGGGGGGGGCCCCCAAAAAAAAAAAAGGACTACTATAATTCTTCTTTATACAAGAGTGGCATACCACAGCTCCTTGCTTGACACAGTAGCCTGACTTGATGATCGTGTTCTCCTGAGCTGGCCTGCTCAGAAAATACGGCAGCTGGTTGTGGGAGCGTTGCATGGCCTCACGCTCCAGTTTGTTAGCAGAGTCACCACCTTCATGCTGAAAGATAAAATTAAGAAAGGTACTGCATTTAAAGCTCGACTAAAGAAAAAAAAAAAAATTTCTACATTCGGACAAAATGTTTTTTGATGCAATCTAAAAAAGATGGAATTTGAAAACCTGAGCTAGATGTATGGCATTGCTGCATTTGGTTTGAATGTTTTAAGTTAAACAAAAGCTAACGCCAAAAATGCCACAAAACCAAAAAGAACCCATCTGTTCTGCTAACTAGAGATCATCTCCAAGAAACAGAACGGTTCTACAAAGAATTGAGCTCTCTAGACCTTCCTGCTGTGTTTTATCTGAAAAAACTAAAAGCCATCCTAAAGATGTTGCCTTTGTTTTGTTTTTGTTGTTCACAAGTCCCATTTAAGAAATTGGAATCAACTTCTTTTGGGGTATTTTTGCCAAATGAACAACTCTGCAATAAATAAAATAACTTACTTTTTTTTTTACATATAAACTAACAGTTTGAAAGTTATATGAGCAGATGAAATAAAGATTCGTAAAGCAATAAAAACTTGCTTCTCAAAATAATAAACAACAAGCAACAAGCCTAATATTGAATAGTGAACAGGTAGTAGACATGTGGTGCTGGCCAACAGTCTTTTTTTTTTGAAGGGAAGCCTCCCCAGCTTGTCCAAAGTCCATTGAGCATGGACTTTGGTTCCCAGCTTGTGTTTTTACTGCAAATAAGCAGAAGTAATGGCGCATGTTATTTATAGAAACATTAAAATAAGCTGGATTAGATCATATTTGTAAGCTGCGGTTGGTCAGGCTTGTTTGAACCTAAAGCCTGAATCTTTCATAAAATCCCATGCCCGTGTTTAGAGAAATGTTTACTTGTGTTTGGGTAACAATGGGCACTCCTCCAATTATTTCTGTTTTGTAGGAAACTTGTTTCTTGGCTCCTACAACGTCAGGCAAAACCTTCTGGTTTTCGGAGTTCTGCTGGTTGTCAGACAATTTTGGCACCTAAGAGAGGGAAAAGAAAAGACAAACACTACTCTGTAACATCCATTTCCTCTTTGCATGGTTAAGTCTTCATGGAGAACAATGGACACGCTCTTCATCCTAAACCTCAGCACAACAATGCAGCATCCTGTTAGTCATGCTTTGACTTACATCTAATACCTTGAAAGTCCTCTTATTCAGTTTAAACAAAAGAGGGGGGGGGGGGGGGGAGAAAGAGCCAGAAAGAAATGATCCACACAGTCAATCAGGAAGAGCTGGCATGTCATGCGTGTGTTTGACTCACAGTGATCTTGGTGGCTTTATTGAGAGCGGTGACCCAGTCCACCAAGTCCTGCTGGTCATTGGCCTGCAGGAAGTACTTCCTCATCTTAGCATTGATGACTAACAGACCATAAAACAGTTGGGACATTAGACAGAGTGAATTTTACTTCAGGCGTCCCTCTCCTGCTGCAGTCAGACAAATTATTATACCATCGATTTGATGCACTATATCAAATTCACACTACATGCCTGAAAGGTCTCGGGTGAGTTAATGACGTTTTCAAGAATTTCTTGTCCATTATTTGGAACTTGCAATAAATATGAAGAGCTGAACTGTTATTTTGACCTTTCTTGTATAACGATGAGCGTCGGAGTGCAGACAGAGACAGGCTTTTCTGGAAAGAAAATTCAGCTGAGGCACAGAAGTTTCCCCACTCAGTACAGCAGCATTGTTTCACCACGTGAACACAGTGATGACTAAGCTAGATTGAGCTCCTTCGTTCATCTAATACAACCAGCAAACACTAAATATGCAAGCAAATTTGGTTCCTTGGTAAACATGAGCTAAACACATTTTTATTCACTAAACTCTTTGGGTATCCAGGATTTAGAAACAGATCCGTCTGCAGTTCTTTGTCATGAATCCCTAAGTTCTGCTGTTCAAAGCCTCCTTGTGTCGTCTGTTTCATTCTGACACTATGGTAATAAATTACATTAAAGCTGAGCTGGTATAACTGTCAAGGGCAAGCTGTAAAAGGCACAAGGCAAACATTGTCTCATATTCATTCTAGTTCTGCGTGCTTCATCCAGCTTTAAGACCATATAAAACCTCTCTGTCCCCCAATCCCACTAAATAAATCAGTCTTATTTAGATGACCAGCATAAGATATTTTAACAGTTTTAACTTTCTACAAATGTGTTGACCAAGTGCAGTGGACTCTTGAGCACTGGGATAACAAATCTGGGAGAAGGGCCATCAACAAGACTTTAATGGAAAACGCTGCCAGGCATTAAAGCTATACATGCACTACTTATACCTCCCACAATACAAAGGATATCAGTTCTGGAACAAAACAAACTACAGAAGGAAATAGTTTTCTTACTTTAAAATAAATCTGTAAACGTGACAGCCACAGAGTTTTTTTTTGAATACCTCTATATTTCTTCTTGAATTGCTCAAGGCATAAAGGAGGGAGGGGCAGGATTTGTGGATATCAGTACAACATATGGTGCACAGTTTAAAAATAACTTCATACATCTAGGAATCAGGTTCCGATTAGGATGCCGGCATCCTGTTGAAACCTCAACAGTGGTGTACACATAGCCGCACAATATGTACACACGCACACAGTCAACTTCTGGTCATACTAGTATTTCCTGTGCCTGAATCTGATGTAAGGAGCGGCGAGACGTTCGTAAACAATAACAAGGATGGGAGTTTATTCCTAAATAACCCAATGATGGTTCTTATTTATGAAATACTTTTCACTTTCATCTTGCCCACAAAGGAGTGTCAAGTCAAGGACAGATGGAGACACATGTATTTCTTTGTTGAAAGCTAGCCCCCATGGGATGGGATGACGAGTGATTTAAAGAAACCTTATGTCTCTGGCATGAATTAAATCTAAAAACAGAGGATGTCCGAGCCAATGAAAAATAGTTTGCTTTCAGTGTAAACTAGACGTAAAATGAAATCATTTAATCAAAAGTATAATAAGAACACATTTACTTGGGTCAATTTTATTTAAAGGATGCAGTTTTTCCTCAAATACTTAAAAGAAACATCTCTAAGAATTGGTCTTTTCAATTAGTGTTGATCTGTAATTATCTCCTTTTGCATGGAAATCCTAAAGATTACTAAAAATGTCAATGTTCAATCTTGGAAAAACCCTAAAAGTGATACAACATCCACATTTTAGTCTAAATTAAACTCAACTTGGCTTTTAAGGCCCATGCATTCTCAAAAAGCAGAACAATGCAGACAGGTAGGGTTTTGGTAAGTTTATGCCATATTCTGATTTTTATTTGTTTATTTTGTAATGTAACAATTTGAGATTCCAGTTGCCTACAAGAAGACTTTGAGGCAACATATTTTAAATGCTTTATCTACAAGGAAAAAAAATGTTGCAAAAGGGTGTCAAAAGTTGAAAAGTCCAGACAGAAAATGCTTAAAAGTTTGGTCTCAAGTGAACCTTAATGTTTTTAGTGTTAAAATACTGAAGTGGGTAGGAGTTACATTGTGCATAAGAGCAGAGGTAGGTGTTTTTTAATTTTATATTTTTTATATTTTTCACATCCAAAGAGGTGCAGATTGCAAATCCTGGTGAGCGTGGGGACCGATTTTATCCACCACTAGGCACAATGATGGAGCCAGGGGATGGCCGATGAAGGCTGGATTGCTCTCTTTGGGTCGAGGGTGAGGTTCTGCCTCAAGTGAAGGAGTGCAACTATCTCGGAGTTTTGTTCATGAATGAGGGAAGATTGGAGCATGAGATTGACAGCGATTGGTGCAGCATCTGAAGTATTGCAAACTTGGCGCTGGTCCTTTGTGGTGAAGAGGGAGCTGAGCCATAAGGCAAAGCTCTGTGTTTACCAGTTGGCCTATGTTCCTACCCTCATCTATGGTCACGAACTCTGGGGTAGTGACCGAAAGAACAAGATCGTGGATACAGGTTGTTGAAATGAGTTTCCTCCGCAGGGTGGCTGGACTCCCCTTTAGAGATGGGGTGAAAAGTTCAGTTATCTGGAAGAGACTCAGAGTAGAACCGCTGCTCCTCCACATTGAGAGGAGCCAGTTGAGGTGGTTCGGGCATCTGATATGGATGCTCCCTGGGCGCCTCCCCTAGGGAGGTACTTCAGGCATGTCCGACTGGGAGGAGAGCCCGGGGTACTCAAGACATGCTAGAGAGACTTTGTCTCTCAGTTGGCCTGGGAATGCCTTGGAATCCTCCCAGAAGAGCTGGAAGAGGTGGCTGTGTAAAGATGTCTGTCCTCCCTGCTCAAGTCGCGACCAGACTTCAGAACAAGCAGAAGATAATGGATGGATTTGTGCACATTGCTTATTTGTTCAAGTTAGCCAGCTAGCAAGGTCTACATATATATGGAAGCTGCCATCTTGGATTTAGACGTGGCAAGCCAGTTTTTGACAGCAACATTTCTTACGCCTAGAAGCAGACACACATCAAAATGGAAGTCGGTATCTCACTTATTTCTCAAGTTATTAACTCGCATGACAAACTAACAAACAAATGGAGGGTATTTCCAATTCCCCTTTTTTACTCCGCGACAGAGGACAATAAACCGTCAGAAATTATGTTAAATGTCAACTCAACCACTACACTATAAATCCTAACTATACTAACAACCACTGAAAGGTAAACTGGTCAAACATAAACCCAGATCACTAACTGCTGCAGCTTCCTGCATCTTTGTGTTGACTAAAACACAGTAACTAATGAGGCTGCCAATGTAGGGAGCAGTGTTAGGCCAAATTAAACAGGGGAAAACAGTAAACGTTCTTTCGTTTCGTTCACTTAGTGAAGTTTGACAAGCTTATTCATTAACATTTTTGAGCAAGCCGTTTCATCATCATAATGTCAGCAGATGAAATAAGTTTACATTTTATTGAATGATAGCAAGATTAGGCTGTTAAGTGCTTACTTACCAAAGCAGAACTCGGCTTTTGGTCTTAGCTTAGTGGCATCGCTGACCTAAAGGTGGATTAATCCCAAAGTTATCTTCCTTGTCTAACTAAATTATAAATAATTAAACAATTTCTATACAGTCATATTACAGTAGCCTCAAAAAATGCTGCGGTGGCATTTCTGCTTACCTTAGAGATGTGAGCGAGCTTGAGCGAGCCAACACTGTCTGTACCAACAGGCAAGTTCTATGGAAAATTGGTCAAAATAATAGTAAAAAAACATATATGCATTAAAATTGAAGGATCAACGTTTTTAATAGTTGAAGCTTGTGTAAAACAATGTCATCAGGTGAAGAAATGTTCAGCAAAGCGCGACAGTATTATAAAGTGCAACTTGGCCGAATTCATTAGTTAATATCAGAGCCTAGTTGTATTTTTCAAACTTGGAGACCTCGATTTAACATAATTAAAATTTTATCTTTTTCAATTTATAAAAAGAGAGGGACTTAATTATTTAAGTTTTTTCCTGTAATACATTATTTATAAACCGTTCATGTAAAAGCATCTTAAAACCAGCATGGAGAAAAAAAAAATTAAACCAAGATTTACACACAAACAAAAAAAGAATATTGAAAGAACACAGAGCAGACTGTGGCAACACTTTTAGTCTGAAACACTGCTGCTAAAGTTGTGGACTAATTTAGACAATTAAAACAAAAAGGCAAATCTCAGGTTTAAACTTAAAATACAACCAGCCCCATTTTAAATGATTTACAGCGGTGTCTGCCAGCAGCTAAAACAGACACACCACTTTCCTTAGACACTTGTGCCTAAAATATGTGCTTCCCAATTCTGTCAGCTAGAATTACATAATTACAACTTCTCCTATCCTCATGGGGCTGCCTGGCATTGGAAACATTTTGAGTGTACTGAACTGTGTGCTCAATGAATGGAGCGTGCTTACCAAGAAGATGCCTGTGTTTGCATAAGAACTGATCATCTCTCAAGCATGATATATGATGTGTAGTTGGTTGAAGTTCTCCGATTTTACATCCCCTGGTTAAACATTTGCCTGTGCAATTTTTCTTATCTCTTCTAAGAAACAAAGCTAGAAGCTAAGCTAACACAGTTCTGTGTAATTACCTGTGGGTTGTCCATGAACCACACCAAGCTTCCCTGCTGGGTGTCCAGTATGAAGTAACGACGCAGGAACTTGCCGCTGCTCTCATTCTCCTCAATGTCCAGAAAGCCACAGATGCGGTTCTGTCGGTCCACATAAGGCATCTTGCCACTCGGACATTCCCTGGCCTGCTGAGGCCAGGAGGGGAGACGGAGTAGCCTGGGCGAGCGGTTCTGGGAGGAATTCCCTTCAGGACGCAGAGAGAAACAAGAAGAAAAAGAAATGTGTGGGGCGGGAAAAAGGAAACGAGGGATTTCAGTTGTCTTTTCGTGGTTAGCTTTGCTCTCTCCTTCCCCCTGCATGCACAGTCTGTGGTCTCGCTGCCACCTGGAGCTCACCAGGCTAGTCAGCGAGCAGATCACGTGACACAAACCACAGCCCTGTCTTTATCCTTTTATACCAGCCTCACCCACCCTCTCTCCTCGAGTCGCTTTTTCCCCTGTCTGAAACACATACTCAACACACTCTCTCGTCTACATCCTCCAACCCCTTTGCTTTCTCTCCCCCACCCCCACATCTCCTTTTTCACTTTCTGAGTTTCCTCCTCCTGACTGCTCACTCATCTGATTTGGCAAGCCTCTGTCCAGCCCCTTCTGTCTCCTCCCACCTGCAACTGAGCACTCGCTTTAAGCATCGTCAAAAAAAATAGAAAGGACACAGCCGCATTCAGCCATGTTTGACACAACTAAAGGATCGGTGAAGGACAGAATGTGTAGTATTTAACCTGAATTAGACACATCCCTGAGATATACTGCCTCGTGCTATTCAATAAAAAGTAAATGATTAAAGGTGCCTTTGTGTGTAAATGATTAAATCTCAATGTCGGAGCTTGTGTGGGTGAATAGTTACTGGAAGCACATCATTGCAACAGCCTGTTAAGGCTTCTCCAACAGAACACAAAAAAACGGGACTGAGATGAGTCGGTGGAAAGCAAAGAAAGACGCTCTTTCTCCACGACATTACGAGGGCTGTGTGGGTGACCAGGAGGCAAAGGAAAGGACAAAAGGCCTGGTTGTTTTGTGCAGACTGTGTTGCGAGCATCTCAGTCTAGTGCCTGGTCTGCATGTACCCGAGATGTCCCATTTGACACGCAGGCATGAGGAAAGAGGCAGCACTCAGCGGCAACTAGCTCAGCACCGCACAAACAACGATTGTCATAAGCGAGACCAACCAGTGGAGTTTAGTGATCCTGCAAATGAAGTGCACGAGTTAGCTACAAGCGTGCATTTTAGTGATGATATTTAAGGTAGGGAAAACTGAATAAAACTGAAACAGGCATACGACTGATTTTAAAGTGAAGAGACAAACCAGTATTCTTACAAATAATTACATTAGGGGTGCACCAATTGCAGTTTTCTGGCCGATCAACGATTTCTAAAAAGTCTGACCTGCCGATTCCAATTTTGGCCGATACCGACTTTGTTTTGTAAACGACACTGTCAAGTGTTACAAGGTCACAATGCACCTTGAATTTTCCAATCTTATTTTATTGAAAAAACATACCCTTGAACAATATCTTGGAAACAATACCAATTTGTTTTATCTGGCCATGAGGTAATGCTCTGAAATATAAATGACGTTTAGACAATTGTTGTTAAAACAAAACAAAAAAACATCTGTAAAATCGGTTTCTCATGCAAGTATCGGCCGATTTCCCATTTCCCAAAATTAAGGAAATTGGGGCCGATTTATCGGTGCACGTCTAACTTAAATCTCATATTTATTGCTCACTTAAATACTAAAACACATTTTCATTACAAACAATTCCTTCTTCCTATGAATAAATAAAAAACATTTCAAAGCAACTGCATAAGATGACTGTGCAGATTCTCAGTCATCAAGGTCATGGTGATTTAATTGCATAGGAACACATTTTTAGGTCAGAATACACACCCGTTAACATAAATCACTGTTGGACCTACCGACTTTAACATTCCTATTTTTTGTGTTATTTGAAATGGTCTTTTCTTGCTTGCACTATTGCACTGCATTTTGACAGCTAGACGAGTGTGCTCCAAGTATATATGTAGCCTATTTCTCCAAGTAGACACTGCAACAGATTTGGACAGTTTGTTGGATAAGGAGCCCAGGCTGTTTTCTTGGATTCTTAGAAGTGGATGAAGCTCAATTTTTTCAGCCATTATATCAGTTTTCAGCAGCCACCTTACCCTCTCAATATCGTTATCAGTGATAAGACAAAATTTCCATATCAGTCAGGCTCTAATTTTCAGTAAATGTGGCTGTTTTTGCAGCTAAACAAAAGCAGAGGTTGACATAAGTGATTTCTGTTTGTAGTAATAGTAAATCCAATCTTTGTTTGCGTACTTGTTCTATTTTACCCATGCCACACACCAAAATTGAAGATGGTACTTCTCATTTATTTTTCAAGTTATGCTCACAACACGGACAGACATTTATAACATCAGCTAACTTGGGTTTTGATATGGCAAACCAATTTTTGAAAGGAACCTTCCTTACATCTGTATGTAGCCACACACAACCAAAAAAAAAAAAAAAAAAAGATGTCTGCAGTTCACTTGTTTCAAGTTGTCATGCATACAACATGCATGCACGCACAAACATACGGTGTTTCCAATTCTGACTCTTTGCTCCGTAACTGCGGACAATTAAAACGTTTTTCTTGAAAACACATTTCTACACAAACAGAAATTTAATTTCTGCTTATGATGTTCAAGTAGAAAAAAAATAGCAATAAGTCAAACTCTTAGCCTGATATACAATCAGATATTCTCATTTTAACGAAAACAACGTTAAAGTTTATCGTCTACCTTATTTCTTGACAGAGTTGTTTGTGATTTACCAACCTTTTTCCTCCTTCGAATATTTATCCAGGAAGCCCAGTTCTAGTTTAACTTTACAGGTGCTGGTCATAAAATTAGAATATCATGAAAAAGTTGATTTATTTTAGTAATTCCATTCAAAAAGTGAAACATGTATATTATATTCGATCATCACACACAGAATGATATATTTCAAATGTTTATTTCTTTTAATGTTGATGATCATAACTGACAACTAATGAAAACCCCAAAATCAGTATCTCAGAAAATTAGAATGTTGTGAACAGGTTCAATATTCAAGACACCTGGTGCCACACTCTAAATCAACTAATTAACTCAAAATACCGGCAAAGGCCTTTTAATGGTCTCTCAGTCTAGTTCTGTAGGCTACACAATCATGGGGAAGACTGCTGACTTGACTGTTGTCCAAAAGACAACCATTGACACCTTGCAAAAGGAGGGCAAGAGACAAAAATGCCATTGCTAAAGAGGCTGCCTGTTCACAGAGCTCTGTGTCCAAGCACATTAATAGAGAGGCTAAGGGAACGAAAAGGTGTGGATGAAAAAAAGTATAGAAGCAATAGGAATAACCGCACCCTAGAGAAATGAGAAACAAAACCCATTCCAAAATGTGGGGGGATATTCACAGAGGGAACTGTAGCTGGCGTCAGTGCTTCAAGAACCACCACGCACAGACGTATGCAAGACATGGGTTTCAGCTGTCACATTCCTTGTGTCAAGCTACTCTTGAACAAGAAACAGTGCCAGAAGCTCAAGACACCTGGGCTCAAGACAAATAGGACTGGACTGCTGCTGAGTGGTCCAAAGTTATGTTCTTTGATGAAAGTAAATTTCGCATTTCCTTCGGAAATCAAGGTCCCAGAGTCTGGAGGAAGAGAGGAGGCACAGAATCCACGTTGCTTGAGGTCCAGTGTCAAGTTTCCACAGTCAGTGATGGTTTGGGGTGCCATGTCATCTGCTGGTGTTGGTCCACTGCGTTTTTTGAGGTCCAAGGTCAACACAGCCATCTACCAGGATGTTTTAGAGCACTTCATGCTTCCTGCTGCTTACCAACTTTATGGAGATGCAGATTTCATTTTCCAACAGGACTTGGCACTGAGGCACAGTGCCAAAGCTACTAGTTTCTGGTTTAAGGACCATGGTATCCCTGTTCTTAATTAGCCAGCAAACTCGCCTGACCTTAACCCCATAGAAAATCTATTGGGTATTGTGAAGAGGAAGATGCGATATGCCAGACCCAACAATTCAAAAAGCTGAAGGCCACTGTCAGAGCAACCTGGGCTCTCATAATACATAAGCAGTGTCACAGACTAATAGACTCCATGCCATGCCACATTGCTGCAGTAATCCAGGCAAAAGGAGCCTCAGTTAAGTAATGAGTGCTGTACATGCTCATACTTTTAAAAGTTCAAACTTTTCAGTTGGCCAACATTTCTAAAAATCTTTTTTTTTATTTTTATTGGTCATAAATAATATAATTTTCTGAGATACTAAGTTTGGAATTTTCATTAGTTGTCAGTTATAATCATCAACATTAAAATAAATAAACATTTGAAAGAGTTTCTGTGTAATGAATGAATATTGTCAGTCAGTTTTTTTTTATTTGTCATTCACACCACATGTGGTACATGTGGTGGAACGAAATTGTGTACACAGGGTCCCAGTTACAGCTAACAATAAAATACAAAAGAACAACAGTAATAAGATCTAAGATATGACCTAAGAAAAACAAAAAATATGATAAGCACTAATAAAATAACATAAAAACAATACGCTGAACAGCAGCACAAACATGAGTGTGTGAGCAGATGAGCAGGAAAAATACAGCAACATGAACACGAAAACAGATCAGCAGCAACATGATGTGATTTTTCACAGTGATTATTCTGGTTAGAGATTTGTGAGTCTAACAGCCTCAGGGTAGAAGCTGTTTCTCAGTCTAGTGGTTCTACACTTCATGTTCCTTAACCTCCTTCCTGAGGGGAGCGGTGCAAAAAGTGTATGTGCTGGGTGAGTGGGGTCCTTCATGATGCAGGTGGCCCTCTTCCTGCATCTGGAGGAGCAGATGTCTGATGGTGGGGGGGTGGGGGCTGACTCCAACAGACTTCTGTGCAGCCTTCACCACTCTCTGCAAAGCCTTTCTTTCTGCAGCTGTGCAGCCTCCATGCCACACGTTGATGCTGGAGCACAGGATGCTCTCCACTGCACACCTGTAGAAGGAGGTGAGGACTGAGCTTCTCAATCTAGCTTGTCTCAGCTGCCTGAGGAAGTAGTCTCTGATGAGCTTTCTTGATCAGGCTGGTGGTGTTGTTGCCCCAACTGAAGTTGTTATTCAGGTGCACACCCAAGTACTTGTAGCTGGAGACCATTTCCACCACAGATCCTCTTATGTTCGGGGGGGGAGGTGTGTTTGTTCCTTCTGAAGTCCACGATCATCTCCTTCGTCTTTTTCACATTGATGTGAAGGTTATTCTCTTTGCACCAGCTCTCCACGTGTTCCACTTCCTGCCTGTAGCTGGACTCGTTGTTTGTGATGCATCCCACCACCACTGTATCATCTGCAAACTTTGTAATGTGACAGCCTGGATGGGTAGGTGCACAGTCATATGAGCAGAGTGAACAGAAGAGGGCTCAACACACAGCCCTGAGGGAAGCCAGTGCTGAGGGTTATGGTGGAGGAAGAGATGTTGTGGATCCTCACTGACTGCGGTTTGTCTGTTAAGGAGTCTAGGACCTAGTTGCAAATGGAGGAGCTTAATCCTAGTGTGAATAGTTTGTCGATCAGGGTTTGGGGGATCATGGTGTTGAAGGCAGACGTGAAGTCCACCAAGAGCATACAGACGTAGGAGTCCTTCTGCTCCAGGTGGGTGAGAACAGTGTGGACCACAGAGGAGAAAGCATCTTCTGTAGATCGATTCTTGTGGTATGCGTACTGGTGAGGGTCCTGTTGATGTTGATTGTTGTTTTGATGTGGGTCATGATCAGTTTTTCGAAGCATTACGCGACTATCAGGACGAGGGCTACTGGCCGGTAGTCATTCAGACCAGTCACTGTAGAGCTCTTTGGGACTGGGATGATAGTTGCGGTCTTCAGGCAAGTGGGAACTGTTGCAGGGTAAGTGAGTAGTTAAAGATATCGGCCAGCATCTCGCATGTTTCACTTTTTGAACGGAATTACTGAAATAAATCAACTTTTTCATGATATTCTAATTTTATGACCAGCACCTGTATGTCATCTTAACTTACCGTAAAGTATTTACACTTTAAAGACGGTTGTAAATGTGTCTGGAATTGTACCAGCCACTTAACAAATGCCATTGTGATATGATTAACATTCTTCACTGTCAGCAGTTTTTAACCATTCCGACTAAAGATTTTAATTTAACAAGCCTTTTTAAAAGAGAGTTAGAATTATTTTTGAAGTTGTTCACGTTTAAAAATATTCAAAATATGTATGATTTTATTTAAAAAAAAGAAAATGGTTAACAGCATTAACACAGCGTTAACCTGAATCCTCCTAAACTTCAGTTACCTCACAAGTTTAGGATGTACATGTACAGTAGTTCCCACAATTCTCAACCAGATGTGTGCAACACAATATTGCTGCCATCTTGGTAGGCAAGCCAAGCACTAGACACAGTGGCTTCAAAACAAACTAAACATAGGTGTATAGATAGTCTTGAGCAATGTGTGAGGGAAATATACATGCAGAAGATTGCTACTGATGAGATTGACCCATATGAAGTGAATGAGTTTGAGAGTTAGATAATTGGTCGGTGCAACGCATCAACACAGTTTGGAGGTTTAGCACACAACATAGCTGAGTTATCTACAGTAAAGATGTTCTAAATCGTAAACTGAGTAGTTCTACATTATTTAACAAAATGTATCAGATTTAGGATGTTTTCGAAGGCTTATCCTGGCGGTTGACAAGTCAAAAGTTGCTGTCAACATTATACGGGTTTCCTGATTTTTGGATTGTCAGCCCCTAACCCTATCAACATGGTGACTAGCAAAGTGCCCACATGAGTGACAGCACATAACTATCTGATCATTTAATTGTCTTGGGGTTAGTCATATTTGTTCATTCGTCTCACTTGTTTCTTGCCTTTAGCAGACACAAAAACACAATTTTAACTCTGGCAGTTAAGATGTAAAGCTCAAACTAGGTGTGGTAGTAGCTGAAACTCATCTCCAACACGTACTCTGAGAAGTAATTGATCACTTAAGAATGTTCCTCTCATTTGTTTGTGTTTCAGATGACTGGCATTTAGTACAACGCTGGTTCCGTTCCCCTTATCATATTTAACATACCGGTAGTTTCACCCTTAGCAATAGTTTAAAAAATAAACTCGTCATTGGGAGCTTATCTGACAATACTTTTCATCAACAGTTTAAAACTACTGCACATTGTGGTTTTCTTTTATTCCCTTCTTCCTAGAACGAAATTGTGACAGAGCGTTCTTCTACTTTGTACAACTATTCTTGGTAAATGGGGAAAAAAGGGTTTCTTGTATGGTTAATGTTGCAGTATCAAAAACTGACATCAGATAAAACGGAGAAAACACTCAAGTTCAGTCAAACAATGACAACATGTGACAGATGACTTCTTCACAGCCAACATATCCCCATTCTATCCATTTGTTGAAAGGTTTTGTCAACTGTTACATGACAAGCAACTTGTCTTAGGGAGCCTGTACTTTAGATTTAAAATCTCAGATCAGTTAGGAAACAGAAGAATAAGCGCTATAAACTTAGGGGCTGCCTGAGTTCAACATAAACTACAAAACAAATCACTAAGAAATACATTATAGTGTCCGTGATGATAAATGTGCCTTTTAAAACTTTAAATAAGAAAGGTGTAAAGAAAAGACAACATGAACAAAATCAATTGGAGCCTCAGTCAGTGTGGATCAGACTGTAGGTGTGGGACTAATCATGGTTTTTAATGGGGCATATAAGGGCTAGCAGGTTAGACAAGTTGGTTTTTATAGGAAAAGGTGGGTATTTGGGGACCAAGGATAATGCTCAAAAAGATGAATGGATCCTCAGTTACAGCCCACAACCAACCACCCCAAATGTTTACCCAAATAAAAAAAATGCACTGCCAGACTTCAATTAACACTGGGAAATGTGTAACTACAACACGTTAGCGTTTAGTGTTAGCATTATCAACAGTAGCTCACTGTTCAGGAGCGATAGGGCACAGATTAGCTTAGCACAACTGTTAGCTGACTCGCACGATGCCAAATACTAATACAACAGTTTTATACGGTTACAGACACACCCTAAAGCTGTTCGGACTTACCGATACTTGGCTGTTTCTTCAAACAAGCTTCGTCATCTTCGTTAAAACCAGGCTAAAAACACACACAGGCGACTGGAATTAGCCAGCTTCGTTCGCAAAATACTCCCCGAGTCGAAACTTCACCAAAAGCCAAACACAGACAAACAAAACAAATGTCCCACGGTAACTTATCCTGTAACTGAAAAAAAAAAAAGAGCTTACCTCGATGTGTCCCTTCCTGTAAAAGCCACGCTTCGGCGATTTAGTTATAATATTCGTCCTCTACGTCTCGGTCCATCTCGGATTCGGAACCGAACACAGCTGCTAACGTTCTACTGCAGAGTGCGAACCCGACAAAGATCGTCTGTTGTGAAGATGATCACTCCGAAGCTAAATCATGAACTGAAAACGCTAGCTAGCTGGATGGATTTTTTCAGTCACTTCGATGCTTTTCATAGCTTGACCGCCGTTCACAAATTTTGCTTACTTATTTCAAGAACACATAAACCACCAATATGTGCGGATTCTGTTTCTCATTCAGTTGTATTTTTTACCCGGTCATTGTGCCTTTACAATTAATACTTTTAAACAAAACTACTACTTAAATATCTATATTTCGCATTGTTTGTAAAGAAAAGAAAAGCGGAGTAAGAGGTCTGTCTTTTATATTACCATACTGTCCTCCGTTTTAAAATTAACACTAAAACGGGGGTTTAGCGCCATCTAGTGTTGCTAAATTGAAACAAATTATAGTTTTTTTCATTCTCTGTAACATTTTGCAATTTCGCTCCAGTAACTGATTTTTGCCAACTTGGTCAAGAAAGCATTACTTTATTTACCTACATGCCATCCGTGCAATGTAATAATTTTACATTTTTGATAGTTATTTTTAATCTCTTTTTAATGTTAATAGTTGCAGCAAACACCAATGCAAATATGTACGTGCATTTTTAGCTGAAATAAACTTCATGTTTTTCGTTTTCTACATTCGCCTTAGAATCTAGCTGTTTTTTTTTGTTACCTTTTTTCTTTTAGCCATCCTATTTGTAAAAAAAACAACAAAAAAAACTGCAGTATGACTTTTTATAATTGTTTATTGTTGTTGTCCATTGTCGTCATCTTTCTTTGTTGAAATCAGGTCTCTCTTGTAAATGAGTCCTCGAGACTCATTGGGATTACCTGTCTAAATAAAGGTTGAATGAATGAATTAACATTATTAAAATGTGTTAACCTATTATAAAAGAAAAATGAAGGCTTTTTTTTTTTTTTTTTAGGGGCGGTGAAAACAAGAAAATGTTTGAAGGGAGGAGGGGGAAGCCTGTTGCTGCAGCTGATGTGCTTGTTAACTTTCAGTCTGCTGCTGCTTTTCAGGTGGCTCTGAAGGAGGAGGCAACGATGGAGGATGAGGAGGGGGACACCTACCCGGAGGTCAGACATTTCTCTCAGCTGCTGCCTGCTCCCAGGTTCCGCTCCCACAGTGACACCTCGGGTTTCCGCAGCAGGGTGCTGTTCAGGCTCCGGGGGGCCCGATCAGGTATGTCTGACCCTCACCTGCAGTGCAAACACCCCATGATTAAAGTTCAATAAGGCAAACAGCTAAACAAAATTTGATGGGTGGTGCATTTGTTTAAAATAACCACAGTAAAAAATATCTGACTTCACTCTTTTCATTAGACAGCATCTCAAACGACTTCCTGGTCGTTCACAAGAATGTCTTGCTTTCATTTTTACCGCTTTTTATTCCTTAAATAAATAAATGTTTTATTATTATACGGCTGACCATTCTGTGGCTTATCTCAGCTCCACACTTCCGTGCTCAGTTGTTAATCCTTTAATACATAATTCACACTTTAATCTGGCTGTGAAACAATGCATTTAGAGGTTTAGAGCAAAGAAAGGTACTTTCAACTAAAACTTGTGAAAACAGAAGGATCACCTCTACGTGTGCTATTTACAAAAAAAGACGGAAACTCTGCAGGGTCCAGTGGGGGGGTGACAAATTTGTTGGTGGTGTAACACCTCAGCCATGGCGTTAATTTATTCTCTGGTCTCATCGTCTTTCTTAAATGTCAGTGGGACACTTTGTCTTCTGCCCGATGCCGAGCACATTCAGGCCTCGATGTGATCTCAGCGGTTTGAACCACTTCCTATCAACCATCTTCATCTCATCCTGCAGCTGTGCACTTTAGCCATCTCTGACTGCAGACTTCAAGTTTAAAAGCACACGTAATTTTAATAAAAACTGTCTTGCTTTGCACGGTATATAATTACAGTGAAGTGGTAGCACAGGAAGTGTGTGTTTATGTTTAAGCTGCAATTACAGGAAATTGCGGCAGAGTGGAGTAGTTAAGAAATTAGCCGTTCAAAGTTATTTATTCTGCTTGTTTGAATGCAATGACTTGAAATGCCTTAGAAACACAGTTTACATAAATATAATCTGTTGCTAAATACTATTTATGGTCATAACATAATAGTGGTTTAGTAGCAGTAATAGTTTCATATTATATAGGATGGATCTAAGATTGTAGATTTTATATAAAAATAAAAATAAAATAGTTACTCTTCACGCTTTAATGTGCAAAAAAACCAACAAACAGCAGAATATAGTAAAATGAACAGCAGGGCGAGCTCTTTCACCATTTTACACATTATTCAGAATATGTTAATCCCATCCACACTAGTCTTTTTATGTTTTTAGTCTGTTATGAGAATAACTGAGGATGTGAAATCCATTTAAAGATACAACTTTAATCTTCTGTAAAGCTAATGCACTTACTGAGGCCTGTAAAGCCTTCTGTGGCAACAATCACCTCTAATGAAGACGATGTCCAAATAGAAGCTGCTGAAAATGTGAGTTTTCCAGATCTGGTGTTTCTGTCATTTAAAAAAAAAAAAACTGTTCCGTTTCTGGAAATTAAACAAAGAAATAATAATAAAATATACTTGTATGAATACCGAGTTCCTTCTGTGTGCTTTTATTAAAAAAAAAAAATTATTTATCAGAATGTTTAGTTTTAGTTAATTCTAAAATGTCTGAGAATTAGAAATGATAAAGCCTCCTGGATGGGAAGCAAAACGTCTTCAGCGTCAGAATAAAAGTGCAGTTGTTTTTGTTTTTATCCTTTTTGTTTTAATTAATCATGACCTGGATGACCTCATGCCTTATCTGGGTTTGACACTGGCAGAAGTGACCCAAAAGAAACAATCAGACTGCAGTGATTTGTTTTAGACATCCGTCCGTCCATCCGTCCATCATCATTTACCCGCTTCTTCCTTTTCGGGTCATGGGGGGTCACTGATGCCCATATTCACTGTGTGAGAGGTGGAGGGACCAGTGGTGGAGAAAGTACTCAAACACTGTACTTAAGTAAAAGTACAAATAAACAGACAAAAATGTACTCTAGTAAAAGTAGAAGTACCACATTAACATTTTTACTTAAGTAAAAGTAAATAAGTACTTGCTTTTAAAATACTTAAAGTATTAAAAGTAAAAGTACTTACTGAATGTGTTACCTAATGCAATGGTCTACATATCTTTAAGTGTACCTACCATATATTTTCTGTAATACATTAATAGTGTTGAGTCATTTTAATGAACAATGCTGCAGATAATACATGTTTTTATTGTGTTTACTCTGTGACACAGTTCACACTTGGACTTGTGATTCTGTGTGTCAGAATTTCAGGGATGACCTGCAGAGTTAATGCCATTAAGCAAAATAAGAACGAGGAATGATTTTATCATTGAAAGTTTTTATTTAACACAAAGTAAAACCAATGTGTCATTTTAACTGCAGTAAACATGTTTAAGTAAAAGTTGTCTGCCTGAACAAAAGGAGCATTAGACCTAACAAAGGAACAGGCACTGATCATTTCAACTCCAGTTTGTCATCAACTCTAGTTAAAATATGTCTATTCAACCTTGTAATGGGTCAATATTGAACAATATTTTAACTTCCTGACACCATTTTCAAAACTTGGACCCGAGTGTTGAGACATTTGGAGACATCTCTTGTCTCCTAACATCATGAACTGACACATTTTAATATTGCAGCAAGAATTTCTTGTTCAAGTTCAGAAGAAGTTGTTTTTTTTTAGTCCAGTCTGGATCTTTTGGGAGAAAGAATCTGTCCTGCTGAACTGAGCAGTCTTTCAATAAGGCCATGGGTGGTGTGTATCTTCTGGGTGACTCTCTTGCAGTGGAATACATTTTGGGTGTGTTAGCGGTGCTGTGGGTGCACCCAGCTTAATGATGTATATACTAGAATATATGTCATTGGCCCAGCTCTTCTTGAAGGTGGGTCTAACGTTACCTGCCCACTTTGCAGTGATTCAATGGACCAACTCCCCTCTCACCATTGGTTACTTTCAAACTAACTAACAAATCAAAAAGCCGCAACATGAATGTAACTTGTAATGCAACACGTTATAGAAATGTAGTGTAGTAGAAAGTACAGATACTTGATGTAAAATGTAGTAGAGTAAAAGTATAAAGTACCCATATTTAACTCTAAGTAAAGTACAGATACATGAAAAATGTACTTAAGTACAGTAACAAAGTATTTGTACTTCGTTACATCCCACCACTGGGGGGACACATAGAGACAAACAACCATTAACTCTCACTCACATCTAGGGACAATTTAGTTACCAATCAGCCTAACATGCATGTTTTTGGTCTGTGAGAGGAAACAGGAGTACCCGGAGGAAACCATGCACGGAAAGACCATGCAAACTCCACCCAGAAAGGTCCCCGGCTAGGATTTGAACCGACAACCTTCTTTTAGAGGCAACTCTAGCAACTTAGACATCATGCTGTCCTTGTTTTATACATAAAAAATAAAAATTAGAAGCAGTCAGAAAGTGCACACCAAGACTCACTCACCCAGCAACATCTTGTGCCCATACGGACGGGCGGGCGGGCAGACAGACAGACAGACGCTACTGAAAACATAACCTCCTTGGTGGAGGTAAAAGCTACATTTACATGCTACCATAGCTCAGTAAGCAGCAGCAGCGTGATGCATGTGTCAGTCTTTTTGGGTCTAGGTGGTGAACATCTTCTGCTCTGACTGCAGCTGGGAGGGACACTGCTGGAGGACTGTCAGTACTCTAGGACAGGGGTGGGAGGATATAACAAGTCTCCAAAAGTCTCACTAGACTTGTCGCTAACCGCCTTTTGTTTCATAACGAAAACTCACTAAAGACACGGACAAAGTCGCCCCATTGGCAACACCGCAAGTGTTACGCAATCTGCCATTTTTCTCACGTGTCAGACAGTCGCGCGGTGTCTTATTAAGGTCACGCGTTGAGTTTGTCAAATTATTGTACATTATATTTTATAACTTTATTGTCA